GTGGCCGTCGAAATTATCGAATAATCGATCGCCCCCGCGGCGGGCGGCGAAATCGAAATCGCCGAGTTTTCGTGTTTTTCCGCCATCACGCGGATCTTTTTTTTTTTTTTTTTTCTTCTTCTTTTTCTTTCTTTCTTTTTTTTTTTTTATTTCCGTTTGAAAGGTAGCGAAGCGGAACCGTTTGTACACAAACGGATAAGATAAACGGCCGTAATTTTTATAACGCGACGGTTTATCTGACGGCGGCAAGTTTTATGCCCTGTAAATGAATTGACTTACGGGGAAACGGAACGTGGACAGGCCCTGTACCCCTCTCCCCCTCCCCTCCTCCCGTGGATGAAACTTTATTCCAACTCGGAGAGCGAGTGGCAATTTGTCAAAGTGGAAACGCCGTATGCTTCTTCCCGATAAAGGCAATATATGTTTGCATGCTTTCGAGTTTAATCGATCAGTTTGATAAAATTAACGGAATTCGGAACTAAATTTGGATTGATACGTGAAGAAAAAAAAGAAAAAAGAAAAAAGAAAAAGGAAAAAAGGAAATTTTATCGGGATAAATGATAAATTGTTGTTGAGAGTGAGGTAATAATGTTCCATTTTATTCGTTGCGAATTGAATTTACAAAAAAAAAAAAAAAAAAATTAAACTCGCGAACGAAGAATTCTCAAATTTCCAATACTCGGAGCTCAACCGAACGAGACGGACAGAACCCGTCCAATCAGATCCTACCCCGAATGGAAAAAAAGAAACACCTCTCCTCTCGCACGATTCCTTTCCGAAATCGGACCACCGAATCTCTCCCCCCCCCCCCGTCCCCCTCTGGACCTTCGACGAATTCGATACACACGGTCGGGTGGAGCGACGAGGTCCATCGTTTAATACTGACCTCCGTCAACCGAGGAGAAAGGAAAGCGGACACCGGAATCCTCCTCGAATTCCTCGAGGCTGATCCCGTTCCCGCGCGAGGAAACATCTCCCTCCCTTCTTAACGTGGACGTGGTTTGTCCACGACAAGCGTTCCCCAAACACGGAGGGACAAGGCCGGGCAACCCCCCGGGGGTGGAAGGCAACAAGTGACCACAGGCAGGACACACACTCGCCATCGTCCCTGTTCAATGGCGCGGCACTGGTGTCTAGTCGTTCAGTCCGCCGACAATCGATATATCGACCATGTGTACGGAGGCGGTGTAACGTTATCGTGCACGTGAATTCATGCCCCCTCCCCCCCCCCCCCTCCAACGTTCGATAGGAAGAGAGTAGCCGGTGTCTTACAATAGGGGGTTGTGGTAGGCCATGGATGTCCGTCCATCCGTCTTTCCCGCCCTTCGTGAGACTCGACGTTATTACGTTTCTCCTCTCCGCCCCGAAAATCGTCTGCTTTCGTCTTCTGTCGAGCGAGGTCAAACAGAGATAACGAGTTCCGGTGGCTCGTAGGGAGGGGTGCGTCTGATCGTATGCAGATAACGTGACAGATACGCGCAATGAGTTTAATTTAAAAATGAGTGTAGTTTGGAAGAAGAGGGAGCATTGGGTGGAAATAAATTCCACGATTTTAAAATAAAAATTTTAAAAATCGTTTCGAATGTAAATCTTGTTAGAAGAATAAGTAATTATAAAAGCAATATTTATATTTTAGAAATACTAATAAATTTCATTAAGAAGATCGTTAAGAATATTTTTTTTTAATCCGTTTTTTAAAATTTACCTTGTAATTAAAACTATATTACAATTAAAATCAATTAAAAAGTTATCGTAATAATATTTATAAAATATTATAAAATTTATAATTTTTTTTTTTAAAATATTATAAATATTTATAAAAGAAACTACTTACTATGTAACATTATTATTCAGTAATTTAAGAGAATTTGAGGATGGCGAAAAAAGCGAATTAATCAAAAAAAATAATACTACTTAACTTTTGACTGATAACAAATTGATCTTTAAAAAAAAAAAATCGCTATTGTTCCTTTTCGATTTTTACACGCCGTCGTTCCGAAGTGGCAATGTTTTAGCGTATTGATCCGTTGGGGTTTAGTTGAGCCACGGTAAAAGTGGCGGGGATAGTTGCCACGATAGGGGTGAAGGGCGTCCAGGGGAGAATAAAAACTGGACGGCGGCACTTACCCGCTCATAATCACCCCTTGAACCGCCACTAGAACCGCCACCTTCGACGCCATCGTCGTCGCGGTTCGAGCAGGGCGCGTGGACTTGTTTATGTGTCACTTTCGTACGATTGTCATACTTGTATATACAAATCAATGGAATCTTTCGGATATTCGTCTGGGAATAATTTGAAAACGAATTTTAAAAAGTTCCGTTTGCACGTGCGATAGATATTCGTCGTAAGTAGATTTGTCTGAAAGCAGTATGAAAATTAATGAAAGATCTTATCATATAATCATAGATATTCATTGTATAAATTAATGAATTGCCGTGTAAATTATAAGGTGTCCTCTGAATTAATTCGATCTTTGAAATTTTGCAGAAATGATAATTTCAAGATCTTAATAAATTTAATGATACTCTCGTGGATTTTGACTCGAGATATTGAGTAAAATAATATTACTTTACTTTCATTAATAAATTACAATTATTAGATTAAAGATTTAAAAAGTTGTAGATGCAAAAAACTAAGTTTCGATATATTTTGTCAATACTTAAATGATATTTAAATAATCTTCAAAATCACCATCGATCCCGTATCGATTTCATTTTACATGGTTTAGATCAAGGATCAATCTTTATCATTTTGATTTTACCTGTATTTTAATATTTATGCATTACTACATTTTATTACCAGATTGATTTCAGCTTAATCGCAATGCAATCGTGTAATTTACAAGCGTGCAGTCATAGAAATCAAAAGGGAAGCAAAAAAAAGTATTCGATTTTTCTCGATTCAGGTTTATTGCACACTTGGTTTCGACGCCTACACATCAGGTGGTCGTTCAGCTTCATAGCTTACGAGAGACACGCGGAAAGTCACTTTCGTTCCGTGCAATGAAGGTCTCGTATAATAGTCTTAAACAACTTATATTAATGAGAACTTGAAAATGATACTTATAACAGTGTCCAGTAATATTATTGATATACTTTTTTTTCACGTTTCGATTAACATCTCTTATTAACAACACTGTTGCAAAGTAACATTGATCAAATAATAATTGCAATCAACATTTTTTCATTTCGAAGAGATTCGTAATATTACTCTCTTTCGAAACCACTATATCAAAACTAATCTTTATGTAAATAATCGATATATAATTCGAACTTGTTGAATTAAAATCTTACGCACTTTCTTCTCACTTAACCTAACATAACCTTAAACCAACTTCCACCCATACAATATAACAATAATATAACAATAATAACTTAACTTAAAAATCATTCTTGGAAATAAATCATATTCTCGATAGCAAAATCACACGATTAATTAATTATCAACGAAAAGTTTAGTCAGTCGAACGAACAATGTTTCCTTTCGACGAAAAAGACGAACGTCTCGCGAAACGAAAGCGAATCGATAGAGGTTATGCGTACAAGCTGAGCGGCTGAAATAACTATAGCCACCCGGTAACCACCCTTCTTACGTATGCAAACCCTTAAATAATTGCGGCTCGTTCGCGCAAATTATCCCTGGGTTTCCACGTGGAGTGAAATATAATAATAATACTGCGCGTGCGTGCACGCGAGTGTCTCTCGGCTCACTTCACCCGGCGTGCTCGCTCGTTTTTACACGGATAGTAATAGTGCGAACGTGTATTTAAGGCAGGACGAACTGGTGTAAAATTCGAGAGAAATTAAGTAAGGGAAATAACAAGCGAGTTTTCATGAACGTCTACGTGTTAATACGAGCCTTTTTCTTAGGATAGAGAATATTAAAATTTTAATAGATGTGAATTTTTGATTATAAATTAATTATAAATTGTAAAGGAAAAAATTGTTTATGATATTCAACTTGTGATACGTGATTTCGTTTGTGAAAGTTTCCTTGTATTTTTTTATTATTGAAAATGTTTAATATACTAGGAAAGATTAATTAAAGTCTTAAAAAAAAAAAAATAAAATAAAATAATAAATGATTGTACATTCGCTAATGGACGAAGTAAAAAATTTGTTCTTTTGGAGAAGTATAATTATTTATCCTCTTAATATGGAATTCTTGATGGAAATTAAAAGTTAATTTGATTAAATAAAAAAATGGGGAAATAAAGAAAGTAATAAATTTATAAGATTGACGATTGAAATGACGAGTTTTTACTGATTGAAAAATTAAGATAGAATTAACATTTAAATTTCTTATGTTGAAACGTTACTAAGAGAGACAATGTGCATATTCATTAGTTATATTCATTATGTAGAACACTTAATAATCATGAAACGAGTCATACAGATTTATTATATGCAGTTTGACAGCTTCATTAAATTATATTTTTTTTTCTTCGTTCGTACTACAAGGATAAAATATTAAATTTTATTAAATAAATCAAATCAAATTTAATTTCATTCCAATATTTTATTTTTCTATTCTAAATTTTGTACGAAAATATTTTTACATTATTTATCAGATCAGGACAAAAATTATTTGCTTCTATATAATTATTGATGTTATATTTCTCAGAATACATATTTACAAATTGAGCGTGGGATACGCGTGACTCATGCAGCGGAAAACATGTTAATTGTTACTTTGTGTTTGAAAAATTATTTTCATCTTAGAAAAAAAAAATAAATAAATAAGCTGGATCAAATGTAACGTTGCACAATATTGTATTACTAATCCCATGTATTGAATAGGATACGAGATTTATTAACACGTAATTAATAAAAACATCGATGACGCGTAGAAAATTGCGACGCAATATTTGCTAATCGATTGGCTAGCGCATTAATAAACACGTATACAAATACACATATACAAAATAGGATAGTTTATTTGTAATATTTTCTTTGAAATTTTGTTTCTCCTATTAAAGTGCGTCTTCTTCTCGTTACAGAAGGAACCTCTACTTCTATGCTGGCGAACTTACTTGGTGAGTAAAAAATTCCTCTTTCAAACATCTTATCGAAGTTACAAATATCGAAAATCTTAGATTGAATATCGAATAGAAAGAATTGAAAGCAAAAATAAAATTAAGAAAATCGATAATTAGATATTGAATCAGCAAGTGTGACTTTTCCTTCAAAGAGGAAAAGTCAAATCTCTTAAAAAATTCTACTCAAAATATTATTTCAACTCTTAATACCAAAATTCAATATTCAAAAAACCCGCTCGAACAACAAAAATTTGCGCGGGCTTATTCAAATCGTATAACCAACAAATCAAAAAAAAATAAAGAAATTTTTTTAACCAATCGTGCGCATGGAATCAATGGAGAAAATGCAAACTGTATCGAAATCAAATTGTCGAGAAAATTAAAAATAAAATAACTATTAAACGAGAAGTGCAAAAAGTTCTTAAATATTATACAACCAATTCTACCACTATTACATTTTCTATTACCATTATTACCAAACACGTGAACGCGATCGACACTCGCTTTTACATCCGTCTCATTCTTCAATTTCCCTTCCCGAAAAGAAGGAAGGACAACTCCTCCCCCCCTCCTCCCCTCTCCCCGGCGGCGCGAAACTCGCGATCGTGTAACACACTCGAGGTGGTCGTCGTGCGATTACTTACTCTCCATCGGCGAATTAACGACGAATCACCGATGGGGAAACCGGTTGCCGGGGCGGCGGAACGGCACGCAGTCCTCTAACGACTTCTCTCCTCTCGCGGGCCTCAACACGGGAATTCCAACGGGGCACGAGTTCGCCCCGCGACGCGAATTAATGGAAACACGCCGCGGCATGCGGCGCGCGCTGATAAAGCGGAACGCGCCGCCTTCCTTCCCTTCGGCGCGGCCGAATGCGTGTATCTCTCTATCCCTCGAGCGTGTGTTCCGCGTTTACGCAGACGATCTCTTCGCGTTCTTTTTTTTTTTTTTTTTTTTTTTTTCCTTTTTTTCGTCTCCCTCGCAGCGCGACAACAGTTTTCTCTGCACGCCTCGACTCGCCAATGTCATCGCGCGGACACGTTTCCCAGCTGGCATCCGCCGGAATCATGGTATATTCGTGATGGTTCGCCGCGCGTGCCACGGCTAATCTTCACGCCGCGTGAAGATGGAGCAACGAGCTTGATATTGGTTCCGTGTGATCGACGAGGGAATTTATATGGAGGGGAGGGAGTTCACGCTTGAGATCGAGCTTGTTATGCTGTTTTTTTTTTTTCGTTTTTAGATTTGGGGATGAATTAAAGAAGTATAGAGGAAGGAAATATTTAGATATAATATCGTTTAATTCTTTGTATAAGAAGAAGGAAATTCTTGGAATTTTTCTCTTTATATGGATTCTTTTCAAGACGATAAATAAGATTATATATATATATATATAGAAATCGAAGATTTATTGGATAAATCGGACGATTCTTATTAAAAGATTATTAAATGATTATCGAGCGTGAATTATTTTAGAAGAATTATTATACGTGTCGTTTCGAAAAAGAATTATTTTACACGGCTAGATAACTGATTTAATAGAATTAACGATCTGTAATGAGGTTGGTAATTTTTTGATTCGATAAAAGGCGCATAGATCTGTGAACGAATTTGTTTGGAGAAATTTGTATCGGTTAAGGCACACGTGAAACTTGTTATTCCACTTATCGGCAATTTGGTATACAAATTGGTTCGATAAGTATCGGCAAAAATCTGGTACACTTGGCGAGATTCTTGAGTGGATGTAAATAGGCAATTTAAACTTTTGTAATTACCGTTTTAGATGTTATTGCTTAACGAGCACCCGTTGAATGCGCGCCGATTTCTCGCACAGATTTATCCTCATTCGTTAGATTTAAAAACGAAGTGTGAAAAATTGGATTATTAATTGCATAGATTGCATTTTCTTTTTTTTTTTTTTTTTTTTTTTTTTTTTTCTTTTGAAGGAAGTTTCAAATATTGCGCGAAATTATAGACTATAAGTGTGATTCTGTATTCTGCGAGTACGTGATTCTCATTACGATTGGTCGTGGTAAGCAGCATGGTGATAATAATTTTGACGAAGATCGATGAGATCCTTTATTCGTTTCGTTTGTAGCTGCTAATGTTTTACGAAACGATTCCTGTTGCGCTGGAACAAAAGAGTGGAACGAAATGGATAACAGAAGATAAAATGAGAAATAAGAATATATTATTTTAATATCAACAAATTATAATTAATTTGTAAATTACACATTATATATCAACATTCTCTTTTAATTTGCCATACTGATAAATAGAATATAAAAAAAAAATTAACTATCATTCGTTATGATTTATAAATTTTTAATAACTTTTTTTTTTTAATTTGTGTATACGTTATATTATTCGTTATTTACAATTAATATTCTAATTATCTTTTATCCATTATCAGTATACAAAGGAAAAGAGAGAGTTGTTAGAACATGAAATGTGCAACAAATCGAAGAATAGTAATGCATACACAAAATGTATCTCCATTAAGAACGTTTCAAACAACGCACAACAAGCTTTTTTCTAAATTAATCCTCCATCCAAAAACCTTCCATCGCATACACTCGTATACAAATCCCATTAATCCCCTCTCAGAATGAGACCAACAATTCCGATCGCTCTTTCAAGAACCAGTTTTCACAAAAGAAGAAGAAGAAGAAGAAGAAGAAGAAGAAGAAGAAAAGAAAAAAAGAAAAAAAAAAGAAGGCAACAACACGCGTACATGCATCAAGCTGTCAAACTTAATTTGGAAAATTACATCTACATCTTAACCTGTCACGATCGATCGATCACGAAGAACCTGTCTCTCGATAAACTTCATTAATACAAGTACACTCCACCACCTCGTTCACAACTTCCTCCCAACTTCAACCCAAAGGGAAGGGAGATGCAAAAAGGATGCAAAGACACAGAAGGAAAAGAAGGGAAAAGTTATATGACTTGTGAAGCGCGCGAAAAAGACCGAGATCAATGAGCTTTAAGCTCACGATAAATCTTACAATCTTTTCAATTATCTCTCAGTAGAGGAGCACATTTGTTCGAACACTTTGCATCAACGGATGGAAATGTCCTTAACCGTGCGTTCTCGTTTCCTCTCTCTCTCTCTCTCTCTCTCTCTCTCTCTCTCTCTCTCTCTCTCTCTCTTTCTCTTTTTTCAAGACACGCAGCAACGCGTCTTAAATGAAGCGATTCCGTATTCACGCATGAGCGAGATCGTAGAAGCTCGGTTGGACGCGAACACGACGAGAAGAAATAGGAATCAAGAGGGAAAAGAAGGCACGCATCTGTTTCCTTTGCGGCAAATTTCTTCCGCGTTTGCAACGATAAATGATTTCGCCAGAGGAAAATGAATATTTCCGCTCCACGGCCGATTCAATTCGACGCGTACGCCATCTCGCGAGAATTAGATTCCCGATGGACTAATTATCGTTTTAGATTCTCTGAGAGTGGAATTTTGGAAGGTTGAATTGAAATATATAGTCATCGAGTCAGATTTTGTGGAATCTGAAATGTAACTTTTGAATTTATAACATATTATACGTATACACAATTATAATCTCGTTTATCCTCTAAACAATAAAGTTAGGTTAGTTGGGTAAATATAAATATAGATAAGAATATAAATATAGGTGTATATTAATATTTAATTACTGTTTAATTAATACTTTTTGATCTCTAATTGATATTGACGATAGTTGATTTTTTTCGTCTTTTTTTTTTTTTTTTGCATATCAAAATGAATTTATTTAAACTTATTTTTTTATATACAAACAGTTGTGATAAAAAGACTATGAAATAGAATAGGTAATAAAAAAGAAGTAAAAAAAGAACAGAGTAAGAATTATATAGTTAAAAATATATTTAAAAGTATATTTTGAAACGCGCTATGCTAAAAATATATAACTTTTATTTTTTTATTCCACTTCAGGAATTTATTTAAAAAAAATTTGATAGATTTACTAATGGAAATAATTGAAGAGATCACGTTAGCATCAAATTGAGAACATATTGAATTCGTTAACATCTATGATGTACGTTTTTTCTATTAATTAATTATAATAAAAATTGTAATGGATTGAATTCTGTGAAGTAATAGACGTACATTATTCTTCAAAAATAATCTTTCTTACCTTTCACAGGATTAATTAAACTGCATTGTAAGAAAAAACATTTTTAACCAAATTCTTTTCTCGTGATATATATAATTATTCAAAAATTATATTTTTCTGTGATAAATCATAAATAGTCAAACGAAATTAATGATTTCCACAATTTTGAAGATTCGCCAAGTTTCCTGTTGACTTTAAAATATTTGCCGCAACGTTCAACTATCAAGATTAATACTTGCCCATGTAATTATTCCGTATTTAAAATCCAAATTTATGCATCATGTACCTAAATGATAATTCTTCATCGGATACAGTGTAACGAACTGTTATTATGAATAATATCAGTTTTTTACAATGTGACATTAAATGTAAGAGATAAAAAAGATAATTCCACACCAGAAAACTGCTTTCAAAAATGTTAAGTAGGGGGTTTATTATCTTTTTTTGTCATCAAATTGAAATATGATTAAAAATTGCAGATTTCTATCCAAGAAACGATAATAAACCAGAGGCATTGAAGTATTAAAAATGAGGGTAATTAAAATGACACCATCGCTTTATCTTTCATCGTGGCCTCGATTGACTTTAAACGACCGTGGTCATTAAACTCGTTCGAATGTGGATCGCACTCGTGCATATTAAAAATCGTTTTTCCTTTGTAAAAAAACTTAATAACCTTGAATTTTTTTTTCGATACGTATCGCAAAAACCCAATTCCATAAAAAATAACTTTTCGTCGCAACATTCCTTTCTGCCAATATTTTCGAACATGTTCATTCGTCATTCTTCGTACATTTCAACAGAATATTATATTATCCAGTCGAATGTTCATTAATTAAATTTAAGCTTCCATATTAAAAAATCATTCATTTGAAT